AACTAGGCCGCGAACCGGGAAATTGGTGCCATACCAGTGGCATTTGGCTAGGCCCCAAGCTGGGAACTTCACCTCGTGACAGCAGAGTTTGACTGGGCTGTGAGTCGGGACATTGGTGCCATGCAGTGGCGTTTGGATAGGCTGCAAGCTGGGGACGTCATGTCATGACAGTGGATTTTAACTAGGCCATGAGCTGGGGACCCTGCATCATGACAACAGAGTTTGACTAGATGACTAGCTGGGACACTTGTCACAGCGGTAGTGAAGTTTAACCAGGCCGCACATTGGAGACTTTGCTCTGTGCCAGCAGCAATTGAGTAGACCATGAGCCGGGGACATCATATTGTGACAGCAGTTTGACTGGGCTGCAACCGGGACACTTCACCATGGTAGCGGAAGTTGACTAGACCGCAAGCTGTGGTGCTCTGCTCTGTCAGAGGCATTTAACTAGGCTATCACAAAATCTCTGATTAGTGCTGTCAGCTGTCTTAGACCAGATTAAACATCAGAATACAGAAGGCAGGGGTACTCTGTCTGGCAATCCATTTTCACCACTTGCTTAATGGTTGTTAGTGCTGCATTAGTTAGTGCTGGGAAAGCAATGGTACAAGCCAAGTACTACAGAAGTACTACTTATGACTACTTAGGTATAGAGACATAAATAGGACTACTAATGGTGCTACTGGCTAAATAAAGATAAGCAGGTGAGTATCAACAGTCTCTTTCTTTTTATCTCCTTTTACCCCTTTTTCTCTCACTCTCATTTTCATCTTTCTTTGGCTCTCTTTTCTTTTTCTCCTTCTCTCTTTGTTCTCTCTCTCTCTCTTTCTCTCTCTCTCTCTCTCTCTCTCTCTCTCTCTCTCTCTCTCTTCAGTGTAGCTTTATTGGCATAACTGTAAGGTCCAGTATTGCCAAAGCATAACAATGACAACAATGACAATAACAACATGAACACATAATAGTATCTCTCTCTCTCTCTCTCTCTCTCTCTCTCTCTCCTTTACTCGTTCTATCTCTGTACCTCGTTTTTTCTCCCTGCCTCTCTTTATTTCTCTCTCTCCCTCTCTCCTTCCCTCTCATTCTCAAGTGTTTACCTTCTTTTGCTCTTTCTTCCTAATTTTCTTTCCTTTTACTCCATATTTCTTTTTCCTTTTCACTATCTCATCACCCTTTCCTTTCCTTTTCTATATCTTCCTTCTTTCTCCTTCTCTCACTGTTTTTCTTTTGTTGTCCATCCCTCACTTTTTCTTTTTCTCTCTTAGCATCCCTCTCTATCACATTCTACCTCTCTCCATCTCCCTTTTTCTTTCTTCCTGTCCCTCTTTTTTCTTTTTCTTTCCTCTACTTTTCTCTTTCTCTCATTCCCCATCTCCTTCTCTTTCTTTTCTCTTTTCATACTGATAGAGTCTTTGGATGCCAGTGTGCCACCCACCTCTCAGTCTGTGCACTCTGAGGGTCCGCAGGCCCATCTGGCTCCCTACTCCTTGTCTGTCAGGTTGTCAGTATGACGGTGGCAGCGAGTGCCACAGAGAACTAAAGAGTATTCCAGCTCAACCCTGATCTACAGGCACTCAACACGAGCCAGCACGCAAGCTGTCACTCATTTAATATTCACACTCTGACGCAAGGAAGAAAATCAGTGTCCAAATAACTGTCTGTCGGCGTCTGACCAGCTTTTCGATGCAAACAGTATGTGTATATATGGGGTTGACTGCTATTTATGTTTATAGCTGATTTGCTATTTCAACTAGCATTAATTAAAAACAGGATAATTATGACTGAATCTCATTAAGCCACTGTCTTGAGGTCTGGTTTGAAGAACGCAAACATTTTACAGATCTGATTGTATGATTTATTCTTTTGGTCTTCATCTAATTAAGGAACATTGATATATGACATAAGACACCTCTCCGATAAGATCTAAGCTCAGAGAGGGAAACAGCATGGCATATGCTGACTGGGTTTAATGGCTGTTTTATGGTGAAGCAGAGACAGAGATCACTCTCTGCCGTAACAGAAGGCCCCCTGATCCAGATAACTGGGCCATTTACATGTCAAAAGCCTGGGGCCTCAAAGACAATACATTTTACCCAGGGCTCTAATTTCCAAACAGATGTCATCGTCTTGCTACAGCCTTGTGGTAATAAAATAAGACAAAACAAAATAAAATTAAACAAAATCCCATTATTTGTTATGATATTAAACTTAAAAAGAAATTACACTCTGAAGATAAGAGTGAAGAAAATAAGAAAAAGAAAAAAACAACAAAAAAACATCTCATTTGCAAAAACAATTCTTTAAAGAACCTTCTAGTGAAAGGTTCTTTTGAGAACCGAGAGTGGTTCTTCTATGCCATTGTCCCAAATAAGCCTTTTTGACATCTTTATTTTTCAATACCATTTTAACAAGCCCTCATCAACTTGGCCTCTTTATTAGCTAAAGTGAAGTTTGTTACATGAGCCCTCTGAGGGATCGAGTGAACGCAAGTGTCAACTTCAGCAGCAGAACTCCCAGTAGCAGTGAAGCATCTGGATACACTTAAGTAAGTATCCTGTAGATGTTCTGTTGAAACATTACTTACATTAAGCTTAATCTTAACCTCAACCCAAAACCTAATCCTAACCCTCATATGTTTTTGACATGTTACTGAGAATCTGTTGAGTGTTTCATCTAAAAGGACCACTCAAAATAAAGTGTCACTGATTTCTCTCCACTCATGCAGGGAAAATACAGCCATGGCAGCTGTCCAATTGGTTAAGACCTCAGGAGCTAAAATGAAGGCCTAACATGTCAGTTTTAACAACATAGCTAACATAATCACATAATACGTAAGTGACAGTGGAATCAACTAATCATGTTTTGATTTCGAAAGGGTTATGACCAAGTTTGTAAGGAAAACAAAAAACATCACATTAGGCCTTCTGGAAGCTCTAATAGTCAGGGTTCACCACCGACTTTTAGCTTAGTCCGATGTAACCCTGGATTTTCCGTCTCGTGACAGTAGATCACTTTTAACCAGGCTACATGACTAACCTGCTCCAGGGCTGGTTGAGTTTGGGATTTTGGATCAATCAACAATGATTGTGAATAGTATTTGGTATTGAAAACAGTACATGTATGTGGCAGAAATGATCTACACAGTCCTTAAAGAAATACTTCAGCATTTTTCAACCTAATCTCTATCTGCTAAATCTGTTTCATATGGTCAAACACAGATAACACAAAACCCAATGACTCAAAACATACTTCAACAGAAGCCAGCGGGCAGATGCCATAGATTAGATTAAAAAATGCTTAAGTCTTCCTTTAAGAGCAGCAACATTGTCTACAGTTTGGTTCTATTCCAGACATTTGACAGCATATGCATGCAGTTACTCAAATAAATATGCTGTGAATACAAAAAATACACATTGCGCATTTAATGCTTCATCAGACATTCCAATTACAGCATCAATAAACTACAAATGTAGTAACCCTGTAAACCCTAATGGTGAGTGCAGTATGTCACCAGAGGGGGCAGCATGTTCCTATCAGAGCCTCTGCCCACAGTTCAAGGAAAACACACTGACTCATGGGGGCCTCTTACTCACCAGCCCTATGACTAATAATTAAACTACTCATGTTGTGGCGGCTATTAGATGGAAAACCAATTTGTTGAATGCCGTCTGCTGGCACAGATGTGTGCTTCGGTTTTCTTCAGATTTCATAATTAAGAGGGAAAAAACACTAGACAAAACATTCTCAGTATTTCCAGTAAACTGAGACAAGCGACTCATACCTCTTACTATATAGTTTTCATAAACCTGAAGTAGACTTAATTGTGGGTCTACTAGACATATCCTGTACAAGTGTATTTTTTTTCCCAATGTTTATTTTGCCCCTCGGCTAGAATATGAAGATAACCTCCCCCCGAGCCCAATTTCTTTGCATGTTAGCCTATATCAGACCAATGAAACACAACAAAATGTTCTGTACAAATAAAAGTTTAATTGAAATGTTTTGTATAAAAATAGGATCTCCATTCTGCTTCATACAGCTTGAACTATTAGAGAGAGAAAGAGTGAGAGAGAGAGAGAGAACATCTAACGCTGGACTACGGAGCCAGTGACAAGAATAGCCCAATTCTCTAAAATGCTTCCATCTAGCAAATGGAGATTACACAGACCTGAAACAACAATGATGTAATTTTGATTAGAGTCATTTCAAGGCAACCAATGACCAACAAGAGAAGTTAAATAACATTCATAGCTCTTCCAATTTAAGTAAACCTTGTTTTATTCCTTTTTACATTGACAACAGCTTCAGTGCATCCATCATCTCTTGTCCAAATGTAGAAAAAAAATATTACAACAGGAATGCAAACAAAAGGCCATATAAAGTTATGCAAAATTTGGGATTTAAGCATGGACAATAAATAAAAATAAATAGCCACAGAGTGTGGAATGTCTACGTTACAAATAAATTAAATGCAAAGAAGAAAAACTGTACACAAAAAAAAACCCACACACACACACACACACACACACACACACACACACACACACACTGTACAAGATTACTTTATTAAAAAAAAAGAAAGAAAAAAAAAAGAAAAAAAAATGGAAAATATGAATATTGCATTGATTGTGCATTTTCACACCCAGGCCCCCCACAACCCAGGAGCCAGGCCAACGTAGTATCAGCAGTGGGATGAGGAGCAGAAGAGTGAGGGGTAAAGGGGAGGGGGGTTTATATACCCTCAGAAGGTACAGCGGTTATACTGAATCTCTATACACATTCAGAAAAAAGAAAAAAGGAACAGTTTTTTTCCCAGACAACCTGTGTAGGCTAAAATGTGACTGAGCAGCGTAAGAAGGAGACGCAGTGAGTGAGTGCGTTTCAAGTATTTCTATTGGTCACCCCTCCCCATTGTAAGACCCCCCTCAAAGCTGGCTGGTCATTTGCACGCAGCGACCATCGCTAGCTGCACTGCCAACTTACAAACCAGCTTAAGGGAAAACAAAGAAGCAATGATGAAAGCCCCCAAATAGCAGCTTTCAAAAAGGCACTCCAAATCAAAAATTAAAACATTTAAATAAAAAGTTCTCCAAGCTCTATGAGAGCAGCCACATCTGTGTAGGAGGCTTGCCAGATGCATAAACCAGCCTTGTAACAATAATGATAATAATAATAATAATAATAATAATAATAATAATAATAATAAATAGTGCTGGTAAGTCCGCCCAAATGGCAAAATGTTCCCCCATCAGGAAACGATTTATAAATCATAAAAAAGGAACAAATAAAAAGATACAAAGGAAGAGCAAACTGTAATAAATTATGATTCCCTACAAGAGGGAAAAAAAAAGAATCTGCAAGCCCAGCGATGGCAAGGCAGCAGATTAGAAGTCCGTTTGAGTCCCAGCCACTCCTTAAAGTGAAGGCCTTCTTTCAAAGACTCTCCTTGCTGGAGCTCATGCTGGAAGTGTCCGTGCTGATGGTCCGGAGTCGAATGTCGCTTTCTTCCGCTTTGGACACTTCTGCGGGACGCATCCATGGGTGCTCGAATATCTGCTCCAGCGTTGGCCTGTCTGACGGTCTCAGTGATAGGCACCACTTGATCAACTGCTGGCACTCTGTTGCAAAAGCAAAAAGTGAAGAATTAGCATCTTCTTGCTATACACTGAGAAAGACTTCCATAATGCTGTATAATACGTGTGTGTGTGTGTGTGTGTGTGTGTGTGTGTGTGTGTGTGTGTGTGTATACATATATACATATACATGTAATTAACTATAGTAATTGCATGAACTTGTTATAAGATTCTTAATAGGAATCTGGTAACACATTTTCAGAATATTATAGTTCTTCTTCATAAGCAATGAAAAAGGGCATGGAAAAAAACAACTAAACTCACCTGTGGAGATTCGCCTTCTAAAGTAAAGGCGCCCTCTGAGGATCTCCTCATCCTGCTCGAAGGGGATGTCTCCACAGACCATGTCGTACAGCAGCACCCCTAGCGACCAGATGGTTGCCGAGCGTCCGTGGTATCTGTGGAAACGGATCCACTCTGGTGGACTGTACACTCTCGTACCTGTGAGGCCAGACAGAGAAATAAACACTGGGTTATAAACAAAGAGACGTCACCACTCTCCACTCCCTCACGCCCCCCCCGTCCCAATCATGTGCTAACACTGCAGCTGACTCAGAGCCTCCTTCAAGATTCTAGCGGAAGCTCAGAATTTAAAAGGGCAAAGAAACAAAAGAAAGAAAGAAAGAAAAAAAAAACCCTCCTTGAGGGGGGGAAGAAAAGGCCACATCACTCCTAGCTCAGCTGTCTGATCCTCCACACAGCAGTCCCACCCTCCTCCAGAGGGGCAGGAGGGGCAGGAGGAGCTGAAACCAAACTGCAAGAGCAACGTGAGCCGTCACGTGACCTGCCCTCTCAGGTTTCACAACACACAGCTGTTACGTGGCATAAGATCTGTTTTAAATCGACCTTTAAATGTTTTTTCCCCCCTATTACTGCTTTGTATGTCAATCTGAAAATGCAGGCATCCTTAACAAGCAACTACTACTGTATGGGTCTGATCTGGTGTTTACTGAGGAAGAACACGTGGCAAAGACTGGCACCAGAAAAAAGGTTTTTGAAAAATGTCAACAGAAAACGTCACGAGCCAAGTTCTCTGTGTGTGTGCCAGCATGAAGCCTCAGTAGGAAAAATACTGGCCATTATTCATCAAAACAAAAGACAAAAATCAGATCATCCTGTATGTACTATATAATGTTACATTAAATAAAAATCACTGCCTCGTTAGTTTTATGGAAACCCCCCTGATTAACTCTGTAACCCTTGTTCTAGCAGCTAATAACCTCAAAGAGAACACAGCTGATTAAAAATTCATGGATTTAGGGGGAACCCCCATGCCATGCACTCATATTACAAAACCCAACACACAGCTAAAATGTCTACATGGGAGGTGATCTGCGCGGCGTGTAGTCTCCGTACCGTCAAAGTCTGTGTACACCGTGTCCTTGAGGAAGGCCCCCGAGCCGAAGTCGATAAGCTTGAGGTCGCCGGTGCGCAGATCCACCAGCAGGTTCTCGTCCTTGATGTCCCGATGAACCACGCCGCAGCTGTAGCAGTGTCGCACAGCCTCCAGCACTTGGCGGAAAAAGCCCCGCGCGGTGGCCTCGTCCAGAGCGCCCTTCTCGGTGATGAAGTCGAAGAGGTCTTTGACCAGCTCCGGCCTCTCCATGACGATTAACCAGCCGTCCGGCCTCTCGTACCAGTCCAGCAGCTTTATGACGCCTCGAAACGAGGAGCCCACTTTCTTCAGCAGCACGATTTCCAAAGGCACCATCACGCCATTCTGGCAGAAAGAGAGAGAATCAGAGATTTTTTTAATAAACCCCTCCAAATAACACCTCTTCAATAGACATATAACTAAAAAAGGCTCTGCATACTTACAATAGAACCCCATTCCGTGACTCTCTCCTTCGCCACATGCTTAACGGCGACCTAAAAAACGAAAAACACAACCTAAGTACACAAATCTTCTCGAGAAGCGTGGCTAAAGGCTGAAGTCCAACAGCCCAGCGACAGTAGCTAGCAGCTCCGCCGCTGTGACCGCCCGACCGAGGGAGTCACTCTTACCGGTAAACCGTCAGAAAGGCGGCTGCCGGCGTACACCGTCCCAAAACCACCGCTTCCAAGCACCGAGCCCACTTGATAGACCTTCTCAAAGGGCTCCGGCTCCACTTTCACTGCAATAACGAAGCAGAGTTCACAGAAATCAGCTGAAATCCCAGTTCAGTTCAGTTAACGTCACACATCACAGATTAACGCTATAGTAACCGCTAGCTACATAGCTAGTAGTGATGATACGAGATCCAGGGCGGTCAGAAACCAAAACACAGGCATCAAGGGTGCCAATGGGTTCATATAACAGCCAAAGCCTAATGAACTATAACTTGGAAACACTGGCTGGATCCCAAATAGCTCACTATCGGACATTCTCCGCATTATTTGCGTGTGAAAAGCCAAACAGACAGTGCACTATAGTTAGATGTGTCACCGCAGGACCGGTGCGATGCCCTATGTAGGGAGCGAGGATCCATTTGGTATCCAGCCACAGCAAACAGCCAAGCAGGCAAAGTAGGCTGGTGTTTAATTGAGTGTTCAGCTACCCCAAGCCAGATAACGGGGAAAATCAATATTTTTTGCAGCTTGTAGACTTACCGGGCTGGAGCTGAATTTTCACCGGCAGATGATCCATGCTGTTTGGGTTGCAGATGTGAGAAAAAGAGCCGAACTTTGACAGCAACATATTTCAATACATGTAGAATACAAAAAGAAATCCCGCTGTTTTGTGTGTGTGTTTTTATTCTGTTCGCGGTAAAGGTGAGTCCAAAGCAGAAAAAAGTTTAGTAAACTAGCGGTGGTGCTGGTCAAAGGCACCAAGGCGAGGCTGAGTTTAGATCCCGGTGCAGTGCGCCCACCGCACCGCCTCGCTGACAGAGTATCACCGCCGCCGTGCGTGCTGATCCAGCGCCGAGAGAAAGAGGTAAACAAACAAAACGAATACAATCCTCAGCGTTAAAATCCAGTGATGCTCGTCCTCTTGATAAACACCAAGGACGGGCGAACCGGTGTGAACGAACTACATGAACACAATGTCACTGGGTTTAGCTGCGTAAGCTGTACGCGTTCCGCCGTAAGATTCAGTCGTGCTCTGTCTGACTGAGCTTTGGCGCGGACCGTCCGCCTCCTATAACGCCAATATTTTGACGCGTGTGCGAACAAATATCCCTCCGCCACTGCAAAACAATCACGTACCTCAACCGCGAAATTACACCCAATTTCCCGCATAAACTTTAAAACATACAGCGCGCGACACTGTGTATATTTAAAAACCAATAATATATTTGTATTCTCAGTTCAGTGTCACGTTCTTAGGAACTATTTCGACCGCGCCGCGATACTACTGTCTAGATAGTACGCGCTGCGTTCATTTGCAAATCCGAGCCACCGACCAATGAAATCGTGCTATGTAAATGCTGCGTTTCTCTTTTTGCCCAATCGAGAATTGTAAATTATCATAAAAAGAATTTTGATTGCACGTGGCGCTGGTTTCTAAGATATGCACAGTCATTTATTTTTTTCCATATCAGCGTTGAGTGAATGCAGTAAAGGTTACTGTGGGGGTTACTGTGCTAAAAATATGATAATAAATTCGTTTCTCTATCTTTAAACGGAATCAGAATACTTTAAAACTGAATAAATATAGTTGACAGGCATAGAAAGGTTGTTCAGTGCAACATAGGCCCCCAATAATGTGTGTGAACCTACGAGAAGGGCCTGTCTATTAATGTGCCTGAAAATATACATGTATATCTGAATTTCACTAAGGAAATGTACAACTGAAATATTCATATGACCCACAATAAGTTGCTCTATGAGAGATTTAGAGATTTAAGAAGAGCAGACATTTGTTTAAGGTGTTATATTGGAAGAGAAATTCAAAAGAGATAGAAGAGATGTGACTGAGCTACACATTTAGCCTTTAGAGGGGGCTAATTTGACAGTCTGCTCCAATTGTGTGAGAGCAAATCATGTGGGATAACTGATATAAGTGTGCTAACACGTGTCTCTTATTTTGCCTGTTATTTACTCAACCCAGAAAAAGCTTTCTGGGCATCCTTTTGAAAGGTGGCTGTTAAGCTGTTAATGAATGCACACAATTGCACAGTGTTACTAGTAAGGATGTAGTCAAGGCCTATCTTTATCCTATTCCTCTTACAATTTGTGCCATAAAAATCATAACTAATCTGAAAATTTGTCTTGCTAGTTGTAGTTTTCTCTTGCAGAGAGTAGTTTGGGACTGCACTGGATTAAAATGGGTTCAGAAGGGTAGTTTTCTACAAGGATGATTAGATTAGACCTGGAATTATGGATTCTAAAAACTTTTTAAGGGATATTCAGCACTTAAAATAGGTGCATGCATTATCAGTAGAACTTTTGAAATAACTAAACACACAAATGATCTTAACCTTCTGTTTTATCCATGCTTGTGGTGACCTTGTACTGTATTTGTAAAGTGTGTGCTTGGCCTCTTTTTTATCTTACCTGCTATGATAAGCAAGGTATACAGTGAAGGACAAAGGGACATAAAGAGCGAGATCAGAGGCAGCAGTGAGCCTTATCTCACCATTCAGCAAAATTATGTAAATGTAGTTCTATAAAATATCCTCCTGAGTGCACCTTAACTCTTCACGGGTTTACTTTCCAGACACAGGTTAGGGTGGACTAAATTATGCTGTCAATGAGGACTTGCCATTGAAAATGATAGGTTCTTAAACGAACATATGGTGGCTTGGGAAAAACTTCAAGAGGTATGGGATCTTTATGTTAAGTGGAGAAACGTTAAGGGTTCACATTTGTACATCTCACTGACAGAAATGCCTCCGTATGGAACCAGAAGTGGTTATGTAAAAGAAAGACAGGGAAAATGTCCCTATGTTTATGTTCATGGCTGTCATTTGGTTCTCTTATGGACTAGTGTAAGCTTCATGGAGCTGACTGGTGCTTAGAACATGAAGATCATTTACTCTTTGGCTTGATTTGATGTGGCATAGTTCACACTGTCAACTTTTCACATGAGCTACCGTTTACAGGCCAGGCAGTCTGCCAACTCCATGGTTTGCAAATAGCTAACTACAGGGCATTGATTATTTTCTGCATTTAGTAATGTAGTTTGTGGGGAAAATGATCTTTTTTCAAACATCAAACATGTTGATAGCATGTTTTCTCTACAAGCCTGTAGAAATGGAACTGAACACAGACCAAAGACATCTGTAAAAGAATGCTGGAACTGCTGTGAAAACTTAGTAGTATTTTATGTTTATTTATTTTATTCATTTATTTTTAACAATAACTCTCTCGGAGGCCTGTCGGCATGTTTAACATCTGTGGCATGCACAGCTGGTCCACCAACTCTGCTTGTGAATGATGTGGTTGTTCGCTGCATTCGTGGGAAGTTATGATCAATTCTTTATTTATATACACCAGGCCCTTGATCTGGCTAGAGTAAGGCTTGTGGGAAGCTCCTAGCTGTCTTTCCGTTGATTCTCCAGGATTCCTGGGATACTTGATATTTTCTTTTCCACTCTAATTACTGCTTTAAGAAACGATGCAATTGGGCTGGAATAGTTTGATAAGGGTCTAGGAACATGTTACATCTGTAATTTGATGTGCCCTTTTCTGGGTAGGCATAAAAACCATGAAACCACACAAACCGAGGGGTGTGACCACATCAAAGGTCAAGGGGGGTAGGCAGCTCTCTTTTTAGCCTTCGGGGCCACATCATTTGGGGGATTGACTGGAACCTCTACAAGCTGCTCCTGCTGAAGCTCCATGCCAAAGGAGCAGCTACTGCTGGGAACTGCTCACAGGAGTGGCGCGCGCTTTAGGAAAAAGCTATACTGAGTCATCCGTCACAATGGCATTGTAATTTGAAACTGTTCAGGCGTAGAACTGAGGCCAACAACAATACAGGATACACTGAACATATGCCGGTAGAGCAGGGTAGTGTGGCATTGCTTTTATGTACAGTATATGATCATTTTTAAACAACTGTTAGTCCAGTTAACCCTGTGGACAGGTCCAAACCTTTATTACATACTTCTACATACTTTACATATTCTGTAACTTACAACTCAGCCAGTTTGCACTGTAGCCAGTGTGGCTACTGAATAATAAGTCTAAGGATGTAATAGGCCTGAGATTTTAAGGGGTTAAATAAGACATTCTATAGGCCAAAACTAAAGGATGTACTGTATTGAATTTACTTGATTCAAATGTGTATTGCCAAAAGTAAATAAACTGAAAGATTTGTGTTGATGTAATATATGTTGTTGAATGTCTGAGTGATGTACACATTTGATTCCATTAAGTTCATTACTTATTTCAGTATAGGGGTTCAATGTTGCTGTTACTCACAACAGAGTCGTCTGTCACCTGGCTGTGAAGGGTAGGTTTGGGTCATGTGCCTTGTCCAAGTCTCCATGTGGATTATAGTCTGGACCTAACGTTGCATAACGCTGTCAGGTCCGCTCACAGATAATCTAGCCGCCTTGCGTAACTGTTCATTAGGTCATTTATATTTCCTTCCTTCACACATCATCAGTGTCATCCTGCGCTTTGGTTATATACTTTTGACTGACTGAAAGAGCAGTGCAAAGATCAGTCAGCAGATTAGCGCACAGGAGAGTTTGCTTTAGCTAAGTTCACTATTATTTGTCACCATTTTAAACTTTTACTGTGATCAGGTTTAGAGTCCTGGGCTGTCAGTGTTCTCCCTGACTGCCCTTCTACACACATTGTGTAGTATTTGTTCTCATTCGTAGCCTAAAAACATGCTCTGCTGCTCACTGCTAATTTACCCAACTTTCCCAAAGGATCAGTGCAGCTTAACACTTCAGTGGCGCTAAGCTAGCTAGTCATCCCACTTAGCATGGCTTAGACAGGACGTGGGCTGGCTGGCCCAACAGCTCCTAACACACACTGAAAAGTAATGATGGACTAAATTGACTTGATTTAAATGTGTAGGGGACAGCAAATCACAAACTAACTCGAGGTAAAATGTAACATGGATATTTTATGTAGCTGAACAGGTTCAGAAAGACCATGTATTTAGTCACCTTCTTGTGTGTTCATAGCAGTGTCATTTACTAATTTTGACAGAAAACAGATAGATATTTCTCAATATTAACCCATTACTGAGTTGTGTGTTTGAGTCACTGAATTCATGTATTATTTTACTCAGCGTTTCAGCTGCTGTAATATAATACCACATCAAACTCACAGTGAGAGCTAGCCAGGCTAAAGCACAGCCAGAGAACTTGTAGAAAGGAGAATTACCACTCTGTAATGTCTCCAGGGTTTCTCAAACCCTAGAGGGTGCTCCTGAGCGAGTCCAAAATGAATGAGCTAAGATGGAGCATTTGAGCAAAATCATCATTTATGTAAAAGAAAACATTGTCTCCTGAACACAGAATAGCATAAAACATTTTTACACCGCTGTTATTTTTTAAGAACTTTTGTACTCGAGTTGTAGAAGTTTAAAACAGCGCCTCATGTACTTCCATGCTGTCAGCCAATGAGCTTCTCCGCTCGCCAACCAGTCAGCACTCAGTAGCAGTAATGCTAGCATACTGCTGCCCAAAACTTGTTTGCTGTAGAAAAAAGGAAATGTTTCAGTGAAATACACCCTTCTACCTTCAAAAATTGAAGGAAAGTTCTGGGCAAGTGATTAGAAAAATTTTTTAACTTTTTTAATTTACTTCCATTCATTGAGGACCTGCTCACGGGCGTCCTCTGGCATTTTGCAGTCATGTTTTTGAAATAATGGGGGACATAGGAAGTGGCCAGGATCCTCATAAATTGGCTCTGGTACAGCCTCCACATGAGGGGGTTAGATAAGTCTGTAGATTCATCAAAAATGTTCTATAAATGTAATGTAAATGAAATATGTCAATTTTTTAAGTAGTTAGGCCGGAAAGTTCATCTGGCTCAAAAAATATAGAATTGAATTAATTGTGTTTTGCTTCGATCTATCAGACGTTTTAACACCTGTTACAACCAGCCCCTCGGTCTCTTACAGTTAACCCAGCCTGTTGGGTTAGTTGTAACGTTTGCAATCCTGCTTCTTTTGGCTAAATAGTTAATAATTAGTAAGTGCTGGAAACAACGTTGATGTTGGCATT